AAGAAGGACCTGGAAATCTACGTCTTGAAAAAAAAAGTCTAGTGGGAACCATGAACAGAGCAAGGAAACACTGCATGGTTCAAAATTGGGAAGGGTGTACACCAAGGATGTGCCTATTTCCATACCTTTTCAATCTATATGCAGAACAGATTATCCGGGATGATGGGCTGCATGAGGAGAAATGTGGCATCAGGATTGGAGGAAGATTCACCAGCAATCTATGTTATGCAGATAACACAACCTTGCTTGCTGAAACTGAGGAGGACCTGAAGCGCTTGCTGCAGAAGGTCAAGGACTGCAGCCTTCAATATGGATTGAGGCTTAATATCAAGAAAAAGATTCTCACCACTGGGCCAACTGGCAGCATCATGATAGATGGTGAAAAGATTGAGATTGTTAATAGCTTTAGTTTGCTTGGCTCCACAGTCAACACTCTTGGCACCATCAGCCAAAAAATTAAAAGATGTATTGTGATGGGAAAGTCTGCTGTCAGGGACCTTTCCAAAGTACTGAAGAGCAGTGACATCACTCTGGAGACTAAGGTGCACCTGATACAGGCCATGGTCTTTGTAATCACTTACTATGCGTCAGAATGCTGAACAATGACTAGGGATGATGGTAGAAGAGGAATTGATGCCTTTGAGCTGTAGTGTTAGAGAAGAATATTGAATAAATATACCATCGACTGCTAAGAAAATGAACAGGTTTGCCCTGGAGAGGGTGAAGCCGGGCTGCTCCTTGGATGCAAGGATTCTGAAGCTTCATCTGACATACTTTGGACATGTTGCAAGGAGGGACCAGTCCTTGGAGAGGGATGTCATGCTTGGGAGGGTGGAGGGACAGCACAGGAGAGGAAGACTCTCTATGAAATTAATTGATTCAGTGACTGGGGTAATGGGGGTAGATATATTGGAGACAGTGAGATTGGCACAGGATAGAGCAGGGTTTAGGACTGTTGTACTTAGGGTCACTATGAGTTACAGGCGACTAGACGGCCCATAACAAGAGTGGGAACCAAATGAGAGGATCTTTGTTCTACTGCTAGAAGATGAGCCCCTTGTATAGGAAGGCCCTCAAATTAAGAATGGGACAAAGCTAGCTCCTCAAAGTAGAGTCTCCCTTTATGGTGTGGATGGAGTAAAGCTTTTAGGACTTGCATTTGCGGGTGTGCTGTAATACAAAGTGAGAACAACTGCAAACTTTTCATCAGCACTTGGAACATGGAATCTATGAAAGATGAATTTAGAAAAACCGAAGTCAACACAAGTATAATAGAACACATAAAGATCTATATCCTGGGCATTAGTGAATGAAATGGTCTGGTATTGTTCACATTAAGTTGGGCAACCTTTTGTCTATGAGGACAGGAAGGGAATTTTGCAAGACTGCTGTTCTATTCATCACAAATACCTTTTTTTTTTGGTGGTGGTGTTCAAAGCTAGGTTTTCATTAACATGAGTGGGAAAAACACCTTTTTAAACAACCTAATGGGTAAGAATCTAGTTGAACTGAATACAGAGGAATCAGACCAGCTACCTGTGTGAAAAGACAATGGAGAAGTTCAGTATCTGTCAGAACAGAGCCCAGGAGCATACCACAGAGCAAACCATCAGTTCATATGCAAGTTTAATTAGAAGGGGAAGAAAATCAAAACCAATTACAAAAGCCACAGCATGTTATTGTTTACCATTTGGTTGAGCATGACTCATAGTGACCCTGTGAACAAAAGACCTGAAGCCTTTCTAAAACTATTGTCATTTCTCCAAGTTCATAGAGTTTCCAAAGGCATGTGGTTTAGGAAGTGGATACTACTCCTATTTCCAAAGCTCTCTTAAACTGAGAGCCCCACTACTGTCCACCATGGGCAACCGTTATGGCATTTGACACCCCAATGGCACAAGGTTCAGCATCACAGCAAATCCAGAACACCTCAGCACAGCAAATTGACAGAAGAGTGCTGTAATTTAGAAGAATGTTCCTCCTAAATATAGTAACAACTGACTTTTAAATACAAAGGCCCTCCAGGAGGTCTTGTTGACTCTAAACAAGAGGCTTAAATTAAAAAGACAACCAATCATTCCACATGATCCTTAACCAAAACAAGAGTGCCCATCTTACAGAGTCCAGCTTCTGGCTGTCACCCAGTCTCCAAAATAGAAACAAGAGGTTCGCCTTAAATACAAGGGCCCTCCAGGAGGTTTTGTTGACTCTAAACAAGAGGCTTAAATCGAAACACAACCAAATATTCCACACAACCCTCAACCAAAACAAGAGTGCCCACCTTACAGAGTCCAGCCACGTCACCCAGTCTCCACTTTCCATATTAAGACAAGATAAAAACTCTGGTGGCTTAGTGGTCCGAAACCACTAACTAGCTGCTCCCTGGGAGAAAGATATGTTGTTTTCTGCTTCTAAAAACCCACTGGAGAGTCAGCTATGGGTCAGTTCCAACTCAGTGGTACACAACAACAGTAAGAGCAGAAATACAAATCTAATCTGGTTTTGTGTAGAAGATATTGCAAGACCACCCATGGGAAAGTAGGATGAAGATAGAACACTTAGGCCTGGTAAGAATAGGGAAAAATTATGAAAAGCCACAGCATAGCCTTGAGTATATTCCATCTGAATTTAGAGACCACTTCAAGAATATATTTTAAGGATTGGACACTAATGATTGAAGCTCACAGGAATTGTGGGGAAAACATCATACCTGAAAAACCAAGAGATACTTAAAATGACAGGAATGAAAGAAAAGACCAGAATGCATGTCAGAAGAGACCTGAAACTTGTTATTGAACATGGAATAGTTAAATGAAAGTAAAAGAAGTTAAAAGAAAAAGTTTTCAAGGGTGGCTTGAGAAGATAAAGTACTGTAATACTGTAATATGCAAGATTTGGCATTAGAAGACCAGAAAAGGGAAGCATACACTCAACAGTTCTCAAGCAGAAAGAACTGAAGAAAAAGTTCATGACTTAAATTGCAATATTGGAGGATTCTATAGGCAAAATATTGAAAAATACAGGAAGCATAAAAGAAGAAAGGAATACACTGTCACTGTACCAAAAAGAATAGACCAGCATACAGCCATTTCAAGAAGTAGTATATACACATGGACTTCACCTGATTGTCTATACAGGTCTTACATCTGTGGAAAGAATCATTGAAGAAGCTCAATATCACCTGTGAAAACTAGCACAGGTGCTGATAGGGGAACAAACCAGCAGCTACTCATATGCAAGTTTAAACTAAAGCTAAAGAAAATTAACTTACAAGATACAAAATTTGACCTTGAGTCTATCCCACCTGATTTAAAAACCATCTCAATAACAGGTCACTAATGAACGAAGACCAGATGAATTGTGGAAGCATGTTGAGAATATCATCCATGATAAATACAAAAGGTCATTGCAAAGAGGAGAAAGAAAAGACAGAGAAGGATGTCACAATAGACTGAATATTTCACGAAAGCACCAAGAAGCCAAAGCAAACGGAAGAAACCAAGAAGTTAAGGAGCTGAACAGAAGATTTCAAAGGACAGTGCAGGAAGACAGCAAAGTATTATAAGGAAATTTGCAAAGAGCTGGAGTCAGAGAATCAAAAGGGATCACAGGATTTCTTAAGCTGAAGGAACTGAAGAACAAATTCAAGCCTGAAGACGCAATACTCAAAGATGCTATGGGCAGAATATTGAATGATTCAGGATGAATTGAAAGAAGATGGAAGGAATACACACAGTCACTCTACCAAAAAGACACAGAAGAATTAAATGACGAAGAGGCAGTGCTGGTGAAGGACAAAGTTGATTCTGCTATGAAGAAATTGGCAAAAAAATAAGGCTCCAGGAATTGATGAAATACCAGTGAAATACCAATTGACATATTTCAGCAAACAGATGCTGCCCTGGACATGCTCATAAGGTTGTGCCAAGAAATCTGGAGAACGGCTACCTAGCCAGCTGACTGAAGAGATCCATATTTATTCCCATTCCAAAAAAGGGTGAACCAGCATTGTGGAAATTATCGAACAATATCACATGCAAACAAAATGTTGCTGAAGATTAATGAAAATAACTGAAACAGTACATCAGCAGAGAACTACCAGAAATACAGGCTGAGTTTAGAATAGATCTTTGACAAGTTAAGATGATCCTGGCTGAAAGCAGTATCAGAAGAATGTCTGTGTTTTGTTGACTGTGCAAAGGCATTTAACTATGTGGATCACAACAAATTGTAGCTAATCTTGAGAAAAATAAGAATCTCAGAACACCTAATTGTGCTCATGTGAACCTATACTTGGACCAGGAGGCAGCTGTTAGAACAGAGCAAAGAAACACTACATGGTTCAAAATCAGGAAAGGAGTACAGGAGGGATGTGTCCTTTATTCATACCTTTTCAACCTATATTCAGACTTTATGAAGAAGAATGTGACATCAGAATTGTAGGAAGATGCTTCAGCACCTTGCATTATCAGGATGACACAACCTTGCTCGCCGAAACTGAGAAGGGCCTGAAGCATCTGCTGCAGAAAGGCAAGGTCTGCAGTCTTCAATATAGATTGAAGCGCAACATCAAGAAAACAAAGATTCTCACAGCTGGACCAGTTGGAAGCACCATGATAGATGGAGAAAAGATTGAGATTGTCAACTTCTCTCTCATGTTGGTGCTTTTGCACATCTTCTCCTATTTACTTGGGGACATTTCTTGTCTCTTCTCTTCATTGCCTGACTGATTGCATCTTGTCCTTCAGAACTCCAGGCAAGACTCCCCGGGAAATGTTCCCAGAACGAACCTCTTCCCAGGCTAGACTTTTGTGTCTTTCTTTCCAACTTCCCCTATGTTCTCTGCTCAACATTCTCACAGTTCTTTCCCTGTATAGTAATCACAGAAAATATTTAGTAACCGTTTCTATAACAGTCTAACAAATTTCAGATCTGAAAATCTACGTGATTTCCCGGACTACTGAACCACATTGTGTTAAGTTTCTTCTTTCTTCTTACAGGCAAAGATGCTGGAAGCAGATCTGGTTTCAAAGATGCTAAGGGCTGTTCTGCAGTCTCATAAGAATGGAATAGCATTACCTCGGCTCCAAGGCGAGTACAGATCCTTGACTGGAGACTGGATCCCATTCAAGCAGCTGGGTTACCCAACGCTAGAAGCCTATCTGAGAAGCATACCGGCAGTTGTCAGGATAGAAACCAGTCGCTCTGGAGAGGTAAGAAGGTAATTTTGCGCATTAGGAAGGTCACACTCATTCTTTATTGCCTGTCCAGCACTTCCAATTTAACAACTACAATAAAGTCACACAGAAAATTACTAGCTAGGTCCTGTTCAGTCCACCTCTCAGGAGGGCAGTCGGGATGAGTGTGTCAGAGACAATGAGATTGGCACAGGACAGAGCAGAGTTTAGAGCTATTGTACATAGGGTTGCTATGAGTCTCAGGCGACTCAACGGCGCATGACAACAACAACAGGTGCTGTTAGGGCAGCATTCAAAACCTGATATACAACTCTGATGTATTTTGTTTTACCCTTCAGATTATTTTCTTCATAAAAATAACATTTTAACCACTTTAAAGAAAATCTTTAAGATTTGAAATTTACCCAGGCTCACCATTCACCCAAAATATCTCTGCTGGAGGCCTTTGCTGCCTAAATCCCACAACCCATCCATTTCCAAATCGGCTACAACTACTTTTTATTGCCAGCCTCGCTAGTGAGCATAGAATACGTGTTTTGAGCTTCTCCTTGTTTGACGTCACTCGTATGTGAAATCTGGATCCGGATTGATACCCCGAATAGTTAGTCCTCAAGTGGTTGTTGCAGGGGCCTCCCTGCCATTGTCTTTAGTCCATTTCCTCTCTGGCCTGATCTATGCCTCATGCCAAGTGGTCATATGATTCAACAGTTTTAAATATTTTATCTATAATAATAAAATATTTCATATAGAATATGGGAAGTTTGGGGGTGGCAAGTTAATCTTTTATGTAATCTATAAACTAGCAGTTTTCTTCAAGTTATTTACCTGATATGCATGCAGTATCATACAATATGGAGAAACCAACAGCCCTCAGAAAACCCTGAAAGTACCTATCCCAAAGAGCAGCGTTTTTCCTGGGCACATTTCTATGTCTGTGGAATAGGTTTGGAGTGCTGCTCACCATAACTGGTAGTAGTGGTTCCTCTGTCAGGGAAAGAGGAGAGAGGGAGGAGGAAAGGCCATTAACAGGACTCAGGAGTTGTCCAAGGGAGATGAATTAGCCTTGTCTGTCATGATCTTGTGAGGAGAAGGTGTACATTGATGTAGTTAATTGTCATTGCTAATAACTGGAGCACTGGTGACATAGTCTGTAGGGAGTTATGCTTCCTTGCACCTCTCAAATCTACCAATGACTCCTCACAAGTAACCCGGGCACCCTCCTGCTGAATGATTTATAGCCATGCAAACCCAGTGCAGATGAAGTCAGCTATGAGGCGGTTCCAACTTGATGGCAGTGAGTTGAGTTGCATTGTTTTGTTTGTGTTGAAATAGCTTTGGTGTCAGAAGATCTCCTTCACTGCCTTTCATGACAGAAGTCCTCTCTCTGTCCATGGTACCTGTCATGTATGCACCATAACATTCACGAGCATTTCATAGTTAACCCTTTTGCCTCCATTTCCTAAATTGGGCTTTTTTTTTTCCTTTGAGGTTGAGAGAGTTTTTTACTCCTAATAGTTGGTACCTAATGAATATGTTGAATATATGAATGTTCAAACATCTAAATTAATTTGAATAAGTTAATAATGAATCAAAAAGAGACAACTTAGCTGTGCCACTTAACTTTCCTAAGCCTCTGCTTTTGCATATATAAAATGGGAATAAATTATACCACAAGATATATGAGATGATGGACAGGTCACTTAACATTCTACGAATGATTACACTTGAAATGAAAGCTAGATTTCTTTGAGTTCACCTGTTAGCTTCCTAGTGATAAGCAAATTATGAATACTCAATAAATCTGGTTTGCAGAATGAATGAAAATTTTAATTTGGGCATAAATGGTTACTAAACATAATAGACTCTGCTTGATTCAACTATGGTAGAAAAGTTTGCCCTAACTTTGTTAACGAGAGACAGACATGAAGATTTATACCCAACTTGATTTGGGACAGGTATGCTCACTGAGATCTGTTCTTTAAAATTGACCTCTGGGCAGCAGTTAACTAAGAAAACTAAGAAATGTATCTCCCTTCACCCCGCCTCTCATGAACAGATAACGTGCTATGCTGTGGCATGCACAGAAACGGCGAGGATTGCCCAGCTTGTGGCTCGCCAAAGGAGTTCCAAAAGGAAAGCAGGGCGGCAAGTTAATTGCCAGATGCGAGTCAAGAAAACCATGCCATTTTTCCTAGAAGGTAAGGGTTTCTTTCAGGCTAAAGTTGTTAAGTCCACCTTTGAATACCTTGTTAAAAGAATTATGAAAATACTGAGTGTATGATTCATGATAAACATCATGAGAAAAATCTGAAACCTAGTATTTTAATCTGAAATTAGTACATCAATGTGATGTACCACATGATACTAGTTATCTGATATAAAATAACTCAATGCAGATTATAATGAAGTTCCCTTACCATGACAAAGCATGATTCTATTCTTTAGGTTGGTTGGGGGAAACGTCATCTAAAATGTTGGATTAACCAAGTGAATTTATGATTTAGTGTTGTGTTTAGTAAGTCACATCTTTTAGTACAAAACTTTTCTTTTCAGATAGCTGTGAGTCATTTGGTACACTTAAGTGTTCCACATAACTCAGCGTGTGTTTTCTGAACACTTAGGTTCTCAAATTACAGACCAGTGAAAATACAAAACACTGGGAGACTAGAGTTTTATGCAAGGCATTGCTCACCTGATGAGAATCACTGTGAAAAACTTCATGACAAAGGCGAGACAAGTCTTGATCTCAAAATACATACCAGCTCTGGTCTGATAGAGAAGACATGAAGGACAGCATGTTTGGCTGAGTGTGATGGATGGGAAAGGGTATGGGGGGCAGCCACTGAGTTGTTAAACTGGCAAGTAGAAGGAAAGTAACTGGTTAACAGATTTTGAGGCAATTCTTCTGCCAAATACTTGACAGTCTTCCTTTTCCCCTCGTGACTAATCATCCCATAACAACCTCCTCAAGTTCTTAACAAACTGTTTAGAGAATGGAAACTCACTGGAAGTGTCTGATAGAGGGTGGGGGATCATGTAATAATAACAAAAATTGCAAAGTTTGGGGAGACTAATTGAGTCTATTATGTATGCCTGGCTTATAGGAAAACCAAAAGCAACCCTCAGACAACCAGGATTTTCTTCAGGGTTTTCTATCAACAAGAAGCCTCCTACTGCAGCACTGTCAAGAGATAAAGGAAACTCTCTTGGAGTTAAATCTGATGCTGAAATGCCACCTTACACAGTCCACACAACTCTTGGAAATGACGCGTTCAAAAATGTTCCAGTGCAGAGACATGTGACCTTGCCTACCAATAACAGGTATTTGGTCTTTGGTGAAAAGAGAAAACTTCATGAACCTTGGGTAGTAAATATTGAAAATACATGTTCAGGGAAAGGAAAAAAAGGCCTCCTGTTGTGTCTAATATAAATTCATAAGAGGTCAAAGCCAGCTTTTCCCAGGTGCATGAATGTCATTCAACAAGTGGATCTGCAGACTGTTTTTCTCCATTATTGTTCCTTGAAAAATTAATTGTAAAAGCTCTCACAAGTTGTTCTAAGCTTGTATTTTAACATAGCTCACAATATTTTCTGAAAATCTTTTCATAAGTAAATAAAATCTGGTTCAGTGGCATGCACTTCTGTGCATTAGCCATCCATCATTATACCGTAAGGTCATAACTAAGCACGTCAGAATACTGGCCTGGAAGAAGGAAGATAAGCTGAAGTATGAATTTTCATACTGCCTTTCACTAACCAGATTAAATAAATTCAAGTATTTCATCTCTTGGAACTGATTTTCTCATTTTTTCAGTGAAAATGTTAATTATCTATAAATTTAATTACTATTATAAATTAGCTCGGAAACAGATACATTGTCGCCCGTGAGCCAAGTCTCCTAACTCACTTCTTGGTTTTGTAAATAAAGTGTTACTGGGGTACATACAAACGCCTGTGGGGTTTACGTATTGACTCTGGCTGCTTTCATGTTAAAACCGTAGAGTTGAATAGTTGATGCAGAAGCTCTGTGGTCTGCTCACCTGAAAATCACTGTCATCCAGTCAGGTCCAACTCTTAGTGACATTATAGGACACAGAACTGCTCTTAGAGCTTTACAAGCCTAGAAATCTTCCCAGAAGTAGATTGTCTCACCTTCATCCTGAGGAATTGCTGATGGATTTGAACCACTGACCTTTTAATTAGCATCCCAACACTTGATCTCCTGCACCACCAGCACTAAAATATGGTGACTACCAGGGAGCGTAGGAGAGAATCTTCATGATGGGACGGTTCTTTGTGCTGATTGGTGGTAGTTACACAAACCCACTACTGGCTTGATAAGAGAAAGAAGGGGAGTCTCCTCCAGTGAGATTTATACCCTCTGAAAACCACTGGAGGGCCAGCTATGAATTGGTTCCAGCTCAGTGGGACACAACAGCAGCATACATGGGCTAATAATTGCCCAGAACCACAGACAGACAAACACACATACACACACACCCCCCGCCCTCAGACA